AAATAAAAATAAAAAAAAAATAAAAAAAAAAAAAGAGCTGTTGTAACCAAGTACCACAAACTGAGTAACTTACAACAAAATAAACCTAGGCCTGCCTTAGTTGTTAGATGGTCCCACCTTGTCCCTGTGACCCTGTGTCTCACAGTGCCATTCTTACCTTCACAATGCCTATTACAAACACATGGGTTATCTTGCACTAAGGGTCCACTGATCCCACATTGATACCAACATTTTTTGGTATAACTGGGGATTAAACTGAGGCCCGTGTGCTTGCCAGACAAGCGCTTATTCTACTGAGCCATCTCACTGGCCCCGATACCACCGTTCTTTTAAACCTCATCTTTTTTTTTTGGTATTTTAGGGCAGGGTCTACAGGGTGTTTAGGGTCTCACTACTAGATTGGACACCTAGTGATCTGCCTGTTTACAGCCTCCCAAGAATTGGGATTACAAGTGCATGCCAAGACGCCCAGGCTCAATTGCCATCCCAGCATGCCCCAGGGGCAGGGCCAGCACGGCAGGCCCAGGGATTGAACCTCTGCTCCTGTGCCTGCCAGCAGGTGCTTTTAATTCACTGAGTTATTTGCACCTACCATGACCCTATTTCCAAATGAGGTACAGTGTGTTAGGGCTTCATCCTATCTTTTATGAGGAATACATTTAAATCTATTAAAATAATATATTACACATGAATGGATTTTTTGAGTAAATGCATTCTTGGAAAAATCTACCAGTCTTTATTTTCCAACATGCTCAGAATTTTTGCTTTTTTGGTTTCCAGTAACATAAGGTTGAACTGTGTTTGAATTAAATGTCCAAGTTCAATCCCCGGTATAATAAATAAATAAATAAATAAATAGGTCTGAGGTACAGCTCAATGTGAAGGACCTGGATTCAATTCCCAGTCCTAAAAACAACAACAACAACAAAACCAAAACAAACAAAATCCATCTATAAAGCCAGGTGTCATGGCACATACCTGTAATCTCAGCACTCAGGAGGCTAAGGTGGGAGGCTGAGGCAGGAAGATCGTCGTTATGAGTTCAAGAGCAGTGTGGGCTACAAAGTGAATTCAAGGCCAGCCTCCACTGTATACTCAGACCCTGTCTCAAAAGGATGAAGAAGGGGGAGGAAAAGGAGAAAAAAAAGAAGAGGAAGAGGAGGAGGAGGAGGAGGAGGAGGAAGAAAAAACCTGCTACATAAGACATATATTAAGAAATGTAAATAATCAGAAACTCTGGAAGGATTAATAAAACATCTTAAACAGGGGTTGCTAACTGAGGTCTGGGAAATTCGAGACAAGGTCAGGAAGGTGACTTTATATAGCATACTTTAATATTTGGGGAGGGTTTAATTATATGATTATACTCAGAAATAAATTTCTTCTTAAAGTCTGTCATACAAGTCAGTGAACTATTAGCTATTAGTCACATATTTAACCAGATGTAGCCTGAAATTAAAGATTAAAATACTAACCTGAGAGATCCCAGAATGATGAAAACAGTTTTGAAATTCATATGCCAAAAAAAAAAAATTTAAAAAAGAAGGCGGGGAGCCCGAGGAGACAGCTCAGTAGAATAAGCGCTTCTCTGGCAAGTGCAGGAGCCTGAGTTCAATCCCCAGTTCTGGGAAAAAAAAAAAAAAAAATTCATGTGCTACACAGCAACACCAAAGAACAGTAGCCATGGCACTCCACCATCCCATGGCTGTGGGCCTCAACAAGGGCCACAAAGTGACTAAGAATGTGAGCAAACTAAGGCACAACCACCATCGTGGATGCCTCACCAAACACACCAAATTGGTGCGGGACATGATCGGGGAGGTGTGCGGCTTTGCCCCCTAGGAAAGGCACGCCATGGAGCTGTGCAAGGTCTCCAAGGACAAACGTGCTCTCAAGTTCATCAAGAAAAGGGTAGGAACACACATCCTTGCCAAGAGGAAGCGTGAGGAGCTGAGCAACATGCTGGCCACCAAGAGGAAGGCAGCTGCCAAGAAGGACTGAGCCCCTCTGGAATAAAGCTTTGCAGGAAAAAAAAAAAAAAAGATTCATGTGCTGTATAAACAGCTCACAAGTGAGCTTTCTGTTGTGAGAAGTACAAAAGTATAATATTGAGAGATGGAGGGGAAAGAGAGAAAGGGTGGGGGAAAGAACCGAGCTACTTCTAGGTGAATAGCTCTTTTACTTTCTTTCCTTTTTTGTCTTTTTGAGACAGAGTTTCGCTAAGCAGTTCAGGCTGGCCTTCAGCTCACTTTGTAGCCCAGGCTGGCCTGGAACTTGCAATGATCCTCCCACCTGAGCCTCCCCAGTGTTAGGATTACAGACATGCACCACCACACCTAGCTAGCTTTTCTATTTTCTATTGCAGTTGTTTACTGGTTAATGGTCTGAACAGTGAAGACTGCAGGAATAGATGCAAATAACATGGATGAGAAATAAAGCCCCGGGATCGGCTGACTGGCTGCGGAAGGCTGGAGAAAGAAAGAGATTTATTTTATTGTTATTGTTATTATTATTATTAATGTACTTGGTTGTTACAGGGTCTCACTACAGCTTGGACTTAGTTATCCTCCTGTTTCTAGCCTCCCCAGCGCTGGGATTACAGGTGTATTCCACTATGCTCAGACTCTGTGGCTGGCTCAGCCCGCCCTGGGGGATGTGGTGCCAGGATGAAAATGTAGTCCCTGTGCTTGCCTAAGCAGGCACTTTAGTCCCTTGAGCTATCTCACCAGTCCCTAGAAAAAGATTCAGAGCCTAGATACTCAGTGGTATGACAAAGAGAAATTGGGAAGTCTGGAGGAAGACCTGGGTTAGAAGAAAAGCAATGGCTTGAGTTTTAAGTGCATTTCAGGTGAGTAGGAAATCAGGTCAAGATGGCAAGAAGGCTGCTTGAAATGCTGCTCGGAAGGGAGGTCAGACCTGAAGACAGAGGTGCATGGGACACCTGTAAACAGCTTTGGGTATCAGAGGGGATGAATCTGGCTGGTGGAAACAAGGGCTGAGATAAGAATATGAAGGACTGCCTACAACTGGGGAGATTAGGAGAGCATGGAGCACATTAGCCAGTAGTGGGGAGTCTCGAGAAAGATGCTGGGAAAGACCCTGGGATGGTAAGCACAGTGATGATGTGCACTATCTCCTCTAGTACGCACACACAGTGAGCACCATGTTACAGAAAGGGACATTAGCTGGACAAGTGACTTCAAAGGCGACAGCATAAATTTAGATCAGAATTCTATCACTAATTTTACCACTAAATTAGCTATGAGCCCATGGGCAAGTACCTGTGCCTTTCTAGGCTTACCTCACTTGCCAGCAAATTGAAAGAACTGACATAGGTCATCTTCAATTCTTAGTAATATGAGTGTTTAATTAAAGTAGAATGAAAAAATACACACACAAGAAGCAATGAATTAAAAATTTAGTCCATTTTCAGAAGGATAAACTATACCTCTTTTAAGTTATTAGTCAAAATAAAGACATCATTAAAAAAAGTTAATGGAAAAAAGTACATGGAAAGCCCAGCACTCTGTGAAGTTGAGGCAAGAAATCCCCAAATTCAAACAGCTTGGGCAACTCAGCAACTTAGTGAGATCCTGTCTCAACAAACAAACAATACGTGAACAGGGAGAACTGGCTAAGAAGAGGAGAATGCTGAACGTTCTAAGTTCTGTTTCTTAGACAGAGTCTCACTAAGTTCCAGTCTGGTCTTGAACTTGGGAGCTTCTCTTACCTCAGCCTCTGAAGCAGCTGAGACTTACAGGCATGTGCCATAAAATGCTTTATACAGTGAACTTTCAAGCAATAAAATCTAGTCTATGATATGTAAAATCACCAGTTGCAAAATCCTACTTTTAAGGGAGGAACAATAAGAATTAAAAATTTTCACATCTGGGCTGAGTGGTTAGCATGCTCAAGATCCTGGTATCAATCCCTCAATTAAAAAAAAAAAGTTTTTATCATACCTGGAAACTCTGTTCTTGAAACTCTGTTAAATCAGGTGAATGAAATAAAAAACAGGAAGATTCCCAAGCAAACAAAGTTCATGTATTGAGGACTGTCCTGCAGAAAGAGAAAATAGCTATTTATAATACTTTTGTAACAAGCAAACATCTGCTAAGGTACATGAAATATTTATTTAAATAAATTACTTGGAAGACTATATTCTATAGAGTATCTACAGGGTTGGGGTTTTTTGCATGTGTTGGGGGCAGAACTAGGGAATGGAACTCAGGACCCTGCCTTTGCCAGGCCAAGCGCTGTATCCCCAAGCCCTCCATAGGTTTGTTTGTTTGTTTGTTTGTTTGTTTGTTTGTTTGTTTTCTTCCCCAGCACTGAGAAATAGGTAATTGGAGCTTGGCACGACAGCACAGAGCTGTAATGCTAGTACTACTTGGAGGCTGAGGCAGGAAACTCCAAATATGAACCCAGCCTAGGATTTTAGTGACTTAGCAGCTGGTGCTGTAGGTCAGTGGGAAGGCCCTGGGTTAGATGCTAGCAGTAGTTAGAAACAAAGGAGCTGAATGAGTGGCTCATTTCCCTCCATTCAACTGTAAACACCACCCTAATTGTTACTCATTGTCCTAAAAGAGGTGCAAAATAAAAAAACAAAAGCCCAGGAGGTCACCACAGGACAAAATACTGACACAAGTGAGAGGGGCAGTGGGAGGCACCTAGAGTCAGAGGAGTCTCACCCTTTAAATGCTGGAAGCCGGGATTCCTGAGGGCCCTTCCCTTTCCCCTTTGGTCTGCTCCTGCTTCCACAGTCCCATGCCTTCAACCAACGTAGCTACTTACTACATACTATAGGAAGCACGCTTAGAAATGCTTTCCTAGTGGTACACAAGAATCTGGACTACTTTTGGCCCACTCAACTGCAACATCTGGCAAGTTAGACAGCGGACTTCACCAAACCTTGGGAAATCCTCACTAGACAATGGGCTAAGGAACTTTAATTTAATGCACAGCAAGCCAGAGACCCCACCAGACATCGAAGGCAGCCCAGAGATGTTTGGAGACCTCAGAAGTAGCAGCCACACAACCCAGTCAGCAAGGAAGGTAACTCCCTACTCGGTCAGGAGACCCTCTTCCCCTGGACAAAGAATGGATTCTGGGAGAGGTAAACAGTTGCCTCTTGGAAAAGACTAGATTGTAGGACAAAAGACTTCTGTCCTTATGGGGGACATACAGGGCCCTGCCCATCAGTTGTGGATCCACACAATGTGGAAAGTCTAGCTTGAAAGCTGTGGCACACACCTTGGCACGGGTGGGCATAAGCCACACAGAGCAGGGGAGAAGGCCAAGGACAAACACTTCGGCCTGACACAGCCACCCAAGCAGAGGACCGGGAGACATGGAGCTGGTCCAGCAGAACTGTTGCTTTTCTCGTGGAGTACTTGGTATCCTGCCCTGGACTAGGCAGCTCTTTGTTTAGCACCATGCCTGCCTGTGCTTCCCTGGGGGCCAGAGACTCTGGAGTGCTTCCTTCCCATAGGTTTCAGTAATTTTCCTTCTTTTTCTGATCCTCTTTCCCCCTCAGGCTTTCAGCTGTTAGAATGTTCCATCTGTTTAGCTGTTGGTTTTATTTCTTTTTATTTACTTATTGGATACAGGGTCTCACTACAGTTCAGACACTTAGTGATCCTCCTGTCTCAGCCTCCCCGACCCTAGGATTACAGGCGTGTGCCACCATGCCGGGTTCAGGGGCTGGCATGGCATATGGTACCAGAGATTGAACTCAGGTCTTAGTGCTTGCCAGGTAGACAAGCAGACCACTGAGCTATTTTCCAGCCCTAGTTGTTGAGTTAGATATCAAAAAACAGCTTAAATAGGGAGGCTCACTGTGAGTTAGAGGCCAGCCATCATGGGCTACATAAGCGAGTTCAAGGCCAGCCTGAACTATATAGGGAGACCCTGTCTCAAAACAAAAGCAAAACAAAACAAAAACCCAAAACAGGGTTAAGAGGTATAACATCTTCCCACAGGGGAAAAGGAACATTCCGGCCAGCATTTCTGTAAGCACTGGCCGCAGAGAGCAGCCAAACGGGTGAACCCATCTCCTCTGGGTCCCAAAGCCCGCCCACCTAGAGCTGCTGCTTCTGGGGCACTTTGTTGAAATGGGTTTGTATTCCCTTTTACTCAGTTTCCTTGTACTATGATAACTGTGGCTTTAAGTTCACACTGCTGTATGAAGGCCTTAGGAATTCAGCTTTGCCAGGCTCAGACTAACAAGACAGGCTCTGTCAAGTCGGCACCAATGGGGACTGACCCAGCCTGCTAGAACCCTATATCCTAATCTTTATTCCTTCCATCTACAGATGGGAACAATCTAGCATATGCCTTCTGAGTCCATGATCAATGTCTTCTTTTTGCTTCTGTTTTTTTTTTTTAAAGTTTATTTATTTATTTAGTGTGTGTGTGTGTGTGTGTGTGTGTGTGTGTGTG